AATAATAATAATAATAATAATAATAATAATAATAATAATAATAATAAGTCAGTGATTGTGATGTTAATAGTTGGTGACAAAAAATTATTTGTGACATTTTTTAAACATTTGTGTAAAAAAACTGCTCCTGAATTTGTTGAGTAGCAGTTTGCTTGACTTCCTCCAGCGAATTTGTCTGATTATTATTATTATTATTATTATTATTTAAAATGGAGCTCACTGTGCTCTATGATTTAAAAAAATCTAATGAATCTAATTTTTCCTCAGCCAGAATGAAAGTGTAGCCTCGTCACTGAAATGTTGTCCTTTAAAATAATTTAATTGTGACAAACTTTGTGCACAAACCTCCATCATTTCAACACAAAAGGCCTTTAGAAGTCGCTCCTCCTCACGTGTTCACCTGATCCTCCAGCTGACTTCACCTGAAGTTAAATGAGCATTAGGGTGTCTAGATTAAACATTCTTTTTCTGTAAATAGACACGTCCAGGTCCAGCCAAAGAGCTTAAATAAAACGTTCAGCTTCAATCTGGTTGTCGTCAGGTTCCATACCCTGCTGTCTGCTTTGCATCGCTGCCAAATCCTCCTTACGCCGCCCTGCGTCACCACCTTCGCTGCATCTCTCTGCCTCCGCTGCTCTCTGTCCCCTTGTCCTAATCCTCTGCTCCTTTCTGTGAGGGACTTTCCTTTCTTGGAGCTTAATCTAAGCCAGGTTGGGGGTTAAAGGTGAGGCCGTGGATTGTGAGAGTGAAAGGCTCGTCTGCAGGGACGAGGAACGAAAACTGCTAATCCAGTAAATCAGATTCCTCACTGTCTGAAGCCTGAGGGGAAATCCTGGAAGAAAAGTTGATGAGAACAGGTTCAGGTGCAGGAGTGAGCATCAAATGAGAATTTCTGATGCGCTGCACCGTTTAAACTCAAACATTCAGAATGACACACGGCTGCAAAAACACTTTTATTGTTTAGGAGGGTCACAAATGAGAGCGCTCAGGTTTCTAATATACCACTTTTTAAATTTCTCATCATTTTTCCTCAAATTGGATGATAAACTTAATATTTAATCATGATTTGTGTTCTTTACTAAAAGCTCTCTGAGCTCAGATGAAATTAAGAAACTAAAACAAAAAAAACATGGTCTTTATTATATTTTAAATTAATCCCTTCTTTGGTCCACGTGTCTTCTGTGAGGTTAAGTTTAGCTGCTGCAGCTTCTAAACTCAGACTGACCGCAAACAAGCTTGTGTGGACTAAATTAGCTGCGAGGCCACATTTATATTTAACTTCCTTTTTTTTTTGGTATTTTTATTATTAGAAGTTGAAGAATTGTCAGAAACAGATTTTGATTTAGTTTTCATTTTGTGAAACTCATAATTCGAAATTATATGCTCATTTTCAGCCACTGTGGAACAGAAAAACCACGTTTATTAAATCCATCCATTT